CTGAAAATTTTCATTTTTGTATTATTATCATTTGGAGACGCGCAATTTATTTGTTTTATTTATTATCACTTTATAAAACTCTCATCCTATATTAATATATGTTTAATAAATTTGTCCAAAGAAAATTCCACCAAAAATTTTTATAGCATCTTTTAATCTATGATAAAACTTCCATCTATTATAACCTGCTAAACTTTGCTTTTGTTCTTAGAAAAAGGTTGCAATAGCCAGTTTTTTATTAAAGAAAATGTCACTTTGATATATTTTGAAATTTCAATCTGGGGAAGAAATAAATCGGCCCATATTAATATAAACAACATCGACTGCCTCCATTGTTCATTAAGGAGCAAGTAAAAAAGAAAGGTGGGAATCTGCGATTTTGCAACCGTGATTTTAATTAATCAATGGATTATCGTGTTTGTATTAGGACAAAGAGTACTAGCAAAAAGAAGGTAAGAAAACGTTGATAGTGATAATTCTGCAGTTGCAAGAAGACATCTCAGAATTACAATGCCCTTTGGAAAAGAAAAACTTACTCGGAAGCAAGCAGGATGCAAACTAAGAGAATGACCAACAAGTTGAAAATCTTGATGTGAATATATACAAAAGTAGGAAAAAAAAGTATTTGCCTAGTCTATATTTTTGTATCAATTACTCCTATATATTATCTTATAATGAGAAACAAGAAATAATAAAATAAAACATAGGCGTTAAGCAATTTCTCAGCGCTTTGAACTCTGAAATGATAATAATACAAAAATGAAAATTTTCAGCAAGAAATTTGGCAGGGTTGGAAATAAAGCCAGAGTTTGCATGTGTCTAAAAAGTTTGTAGAGACGATGAAATTTGTAATTCATAAATCTATAAACAAAATAATTTTTTTTTGTTTCAGACACGAAATCATCTTAACCGGGTTATTTTTAAATCCTTGAATATTTATAGTTGTCTTAAATAACTTTTGAAATATCTTAAATGTAATTAAACTTTAATTATAATACGTACATATTAATATAGCGTTAGATTATAGAAATAAAATTACATTGTCAAAGAATAAAATTATAAGAAAATAATGAAATAATAAATTAATTATCGGCGCCACTTAAAATTGATTGTCTATCTGCTATTATTGTTGTTGTTATTCAAAAATTGGTTTACAAAATTTTGGAAGTTTTGAAGCTGAGATACTATGTAAATAAGTAGTTGTTCATTGTTATTATTTGCGACGATAGAATTTTGATGTCCAACGAAAAAATTATTATCAAAAAAATTGTTTGGATGATTAATGCCCGCAGAAATGGTTGGATTCTGGTCAATGATGTCATTATTATTGTTGATAACTCTAGTTAAGCTTTGGCCAACAAAATTATTGTTACTGATGATGCCTAAATTTTGGGTTGGCGATATTATTTTGATGAACGTCGCCAAAGTTTTGATTAATGTAATTATTTTCAACAGAATTCTGGTTTTGATGAATGTAATTATTATAGTAGTGGCTAGCGGTTTGATTGATGTAATTTACGTAATTATGATTATTAGCATTAGAAACAAAGTCTTGGTTATTAATATCAATATAGTTTTTAGAATCATCATCATCATTATTATTATTATTATTATTATTATTATTATTATTATTTTCAGAATAATTTTGATCCATTTTTAGTCTTTTTTTATATGTTGATTATGAATTTATGAATTTATTTTATATTTATTATGATTATGATTATTTTGGAGTTTTTTTTTAAAAAATAAAATTTTTCGTTTTCGAATTTTATCATCTTTATGTTAAATTTTATTATTATTATTATCATTTCTTTTCGAAAATGACATTATACAAATGTGTAAATTGACAACAGGTTGTTTGTGTAATAGTAATATTAATATTAATACGTATTAAGTTGCATTTTTATTATGTTGTACTAAACATGATCAAAGGTTTGACTAGACATTTTATTTTATTTATTTTTAAAAAAATACAAATACACAAATACTTCCATTTTTAAAACAATAATAACGTTATATAATATAATAATATAATAATATTCTAATATAATTTTTTTCC